GAAGTGCGATGGCCTGCCGCCGAACCAGCGCGTTAAGTATAGACAAGCCCTTAGAATGGCAATCGTAGATCCTCCCATTTGGTATAACCTGTTGCCAAACCAAGGGGTACCAAGCAATCTAGGGATAGAGCTGGTATTGCAATACTCATGCAGAAGTACTTGTATGTATGTCTGGCACCATTGCCACAGAAGAGAATACTGTGCTGAATATGTAAAATGAAGGATATAAATTTATTCTTTTCCAGGAAGTAACTCTTGGAAGTGACATTAGATCAATTTTATGCTTTTGTTATCAGTAGATACACTAATAACCACTCCTTCATCTCTTCTTTTGTCTGGTATATCTGCAGTAACTTTCATCTGAAGATCTCGAAGCACTTTATAAACACTAATTGCACTTCACAATGCTCATATGAGGCAAGTGTTATTTTTACCACTTTAGAATTGGATAAACTGAGGAACAAATGCTGTCACTGGGCCAAAAATCACACAATGAGTCAGTGGAAGATCTGGGAGCAGAACTTGACTCTTGGATGCTGTTTGTCTGCAATAACCATTATACTACACAGCTTCCTTTCATGACCTGCTTCCTTTATCTTTTGTTCAGACACCTATTTGATCACCTTTGCTTATTTAAATGAAACTGTCATTGTTACTTAACATGCTGACTCATCTTTGACAACGATGAAATGTTGGAACATACAGGAGGGTAATTTGCATAAACCTGAGGAAAGATTACAAGGTCAGTCTAGCAATCTAGCTTATTTTAAAAGTGAACCAGGCTAATGTAAGGAAAATGAAGGTTATAATGGAAAGATAGCTGCCTCTGAACTATGAAATAACAATTGTGATTCGATAATTAAGCCTTGCACAACAGCCTGTTTTACAGATGTATAAAGTGAGAAACAGAGGTCACAGACTTGACCAAAGTAACACAATCAGTCAATGGTGAAGATGGGAACAACCTAGAAATACTAACTCCAACCCCCTTTTGTCTAACAACTTCTAGATGACAGACCTTCCTTTGTAGTGACTGGTGTTTGGGGGGGAATGCAAACCAGCTGCATTTACATTTGCCAAGCTGTAGCCAAGTCTTGAGAATTAGCTGCTTCTGGATGCTTGCATCTCGATGCTACTTCACCATCTCGTGCCAAGTGTGGGAGAGGCTAGCCACTTCTCCATGACTAAATTCAGAAGAGTCTTATGGTCTGGGCTTACTGCTTGGAGTGCATGGAGAAAAAAGAGATCAACTGCAAAATCTGAACCACCAAGAGAACTACTGTGGGCCTGCCCACTCCCAATGTTTATTGGTTACATCTTAAGAGGATCAGAAGTGCTCACATGTATTGGAAAAAGCTTTAGTACTATATAGTAGTTGTGAAACACCCTACAATGGCAGTTAATAACTCTTCTTTCACTAGTTCTCCAGAGTTAGTTGTGTGTGTTTGTAAATATATAAACAGCAGCAGCATTTTGCTGCTGCTGTTTATATAAGTTCTGAGTCTCCTGCCTGACAACCACATTTCTTCATATTCTTTTGTCATTTCTGGAGGGGAAAAAAATCCATTACAAGATATGGACCTAAAAATTAATTTGAAACGACAGTATGACTCTCATGCCGTGTGGCTCTGTCCCCCTCTAGTGGCTAGATCACACATTCCTGTTTAAGAGCTGGTTACTGGGCCTGGGCCTTTAGCTTGGGTAGTGGAAGCTCCTGTTTTTAGGTCCAGCAATCATAGGTTTAGTCCCCTTGGACAGTGACCCATATGAGGCATCATTACAACAGTAATTACTTTTTGTAATCTGCTCTGTTTAAAGATCAGGTACAGCACTGTCAGTAGCAGGGTACCTCAACCATGACCTGGATGTGACCTTTCCTGGAGGGAAGGATATTTAATTTCATTGCCCACTCATTCATTGTCTTCTCTACTGAGTGTTTGGAATTGTAACCACAAGAGTGCATTCACTTATACAGGAAAATGTTGTCTGAGCTATATGGTTTATCTGACGTAATCTATTCCTGTGAGAGATCACTAACACCCTTTATGATTGCTTTCTCAGTCCAGTTGAAATAATTTAATCCAGGGCCATCATCAACAAACTCTGAAACTGTGCTCCTAGGCTCATTAACTCTTAGGTTTCTGTGGACTTTCCACTTTGTAAGTCAGATGAATACATTAGGCATCTTCAGTCAGAAAGTTAACACTCAGGGTGAAATCCTGGCCCCGCTGATGTAAATGGGAGTTTTACCCTTGACTTTCCTGGGACCAGGATTTTGTCCCTAAGGCACCATCTTATGGGCTTAATTCTGTTTGTGCCCAGGCTTTAGAGCACTCCCTCCATCAATTTCAGTGACAGCAGCACAAGTGGGATGTTAGCCGGCTA